ATCTAAGCCTGAAACCAACCTTCAACATGATATTATCTGTAGGTTTCACAGACATGGATGAAGCCTAGTTCCACTGAAAAAGGACTAGGCTGAATCCCTGAATGGAAATCCCGTATCCACTTTTTCCCTGAATGATTTATTAGTACTGCATGACCTAACCTGTACGCTGCAGGTTGCGGCGATGACACCATCCACCGGTGTCTCTGAGAATGGGTCAAACATCCTGTCTGACCGCCGCATGAAGTCGGGCTTCAGCAGGTACCTGACGTGCACAGAAGATGCACATGAGGAAAACGGCCACGCACAAACCCATCAATGAACACACTTTTGTTTTGTAAAATCTGATTATGTCTTTACAAATATGTTTTTGTTGTTGATGTCTCCCGATTTAGAATAAACGTAGCACACGAAGGTACCGTGCATATGTGTATGCTAACCAGGGGCCCATCAGAGTAACATTAGTAGTGATGACTGTCTGCGAAAGCCTCGATCTCGCCACATATAAGATTTCCAGCATTAGCAGGAAAATCTCTGCCCTCAGGGACGGTATTAAAGGCGAGGCATGGAGACGACAAGGGAGAGAGGAAGAGACAGATGACTGCCGAGAGAAGAGGAGCTTCCTTCTCGAAAGCACTCATTGGTTTTTGGAAAAGATAGTAGCTGCGGTCGCTTCTGGCAGTCGCTAATGAGATGTGACAAGCTAAAATTGATGAGCTTTAGAGAGGAGTGGAGAGGGAGGGAGGGGACAGACCGGAATGAGCTAAAGACAGGAGTTGAGGAGCTGTGCTCACCCGCAGGAACCATTGTACTCAAACTTTCCTTGGTTCAGCTGCATGGCCAGATCTGAGAGAAGAGTGAGAATTAGTGATTAGTAACTGCAATATATACACGCCAGTGTTTAAACATCAAAACAATCCAAATAAATGAATGACTAAAAAAGAAAGACGGTGTTAATTTTTTCTGAATCTGAGTGAATGGGTTTGTAATATTTTCCCTGACTCCCCCTCAGCTCCAAATCCCCAGACCCCTGCCTAAAGCCTCGCATATGCCCCACTCGCAGCAGGCCATATGGTCTAATCTCTAATGCCTCTGGACATAGGACAGCAGCTGTTTCACTCCCTGTTAAGGTGTTTATATGGCAGCAACAGTTTGATAGTGTGTGTGAGTGTTTGTAAGAGGTCAGAGATAAACAGAGGTACGAATTCAGCTGCATTTATTTAGCAATTTAGCACACACAAAAAGATATCGATTCGATTTAAATGAGC